GGGGGGGGAGAGGGGGGGGGGGGGGGGAGTAAAACTCATGGGTTGAGATAAGAACAGTTTAACAGAACAGAAAGGAAGAAAATAATAATGATAATAATAACAGTAGTAAAATGAAAATAAGAAGAAGAAGAAGAAAAAAAGAATTGGAATACACAAAACAAGTGATGCACAATGCAATTGCTTACCACTCACCAGCCAATGCCCAGTTAGTTCCCGAGCAGCAATCCCCCCCCAGGCCAGCTCCCCCCAGTTTATATACTGGACATGACATCACATGGTATGGAATACCCCTTTGGCCAGTTTGGTTCAGCTGTCCTGGCTGTGTCCCCTCCCAACTTCTTGTGCCCCTCCAGCCTTCTTGCTGGCTGGGCATAAGAAGCTGAAAAATCCTTGACTTGGTATAAACACTGCTTAGCAACAACTGCAAACATCAGTGTGTTATCAACATTCTTCTCATACTAAATGCAAAACATAACACTATACCAGCTACTAGAAAGAAAATTAACTCTATTCCAGCTGAAACCAGGACATCCCTTAAACAGTCTGGGTTTCCCAAAAGATAAACAGCTGACAAGTTAAGCAGCAAGCTTAAGCCTTGCTGAATATGCAAATGTGTAAGCCCTAATGGGTCGCAAAGGTGCAGTGCACTATGATAGTGGTGGCATGTGAACCATAGTAGAAAAGAAATTGTGTCAGAAGGGGTCCCAGAGGCGATGCAGAGCTCGGCACACTTGGTCCTCACAGTGCTTACAGCACTTTTGATCTGTCAGGACTAAGCTGGTCTTTTGCTACCAAATCAACATATAAATAGTTGAAGGCACCTTTTAGGGGAACCAGCTTTGGCTTTATTTCTGCTTTCGCTTCCTATTAGAATTTGTGCAGTGAAGTGTTACTAGCAAATGAAAAGCAAATGTTACTGCTTACATACTCAAGTACTTGCAGGAACAAGCAAAGTGACAATCTGCAAATTGACTTGGTGTTGAGATCAGAGCAGATGCAAACTTAAGGAGAGCTTCCTGAGAAAAAGATGCATCTCTGGTCTGTTGTATCCCTCAGTCTTCTTTATGGTTCCTATAATTTTTCTTTGTGCATGTGACACTAATTCTGTCTTACTAAAGCAAATGTGCTGTATTTCCCTTTCCTAATGCTGCTCTGAATGAAGAGTACAAAATAGGATAAGGGCTATCATGATATGAAAGAACTTAGAGGAGCACTGTCATATAGATGTGTTTGGCTGGGTGCGTTGGTAAGAGCTCCAGTACCAAGCAGCATTGTAAATGCCTGATAGACCGCAGCAGGGAGTGAAACATCCAATTCACTTGTAGTAGGTGGGAATATACATCAAGAAGCAGAGGCAAAGGCTGATGGGGTACCCTGGTCCTCCCTGGAATGTGACAGCCAGTGTTGTGTTAACATGTCACGGCTGATTTGGGCAAGCATTGTATTAATAATGAAAAGGATGATTTCACTGCTGTTAATTCAGCCAGGACACCCAGCTTTGTAAATGGGGCTGTGGAGCCTAGGCCTAGAGCCAGCAGGAGTGAAAGTGTCTTCAGTCTCTGGAGAGAAAGGATGCATTCTTTACCTCTCTCTAACTTATCAGTTCGTGGCAATGGTGCCTCTTCTAATTAGAGCCGTTCCCCGCTCTCTCTGCCAGGATGATGGTTAGACAGGGATTGCAGTGGGAAGCAGAAAGCTAGAATAGCTGCATGCTCTGGAATGGACATTGCTTGTTGGCTTCAGTCAAGTACATTTGCATTGGCTACAGGCTGCTCAGTCTTTGCTGATTAGAGCTAAATCTAGGAAAAACAGCTTATTTGGGCAAAAGTGCATGACAAATACACAACCAAAAGAAGAGACATCAGCTCATACCCTAATCTAGAGGGGTGAAGAAGAGGAAAAGCGTTTGGGTAATTTCCTTTGAACCTCTTGTTAGGTTGCATCAATCTTTATTTATTGTATTCTCTGTAAAGAAATGCATTTGGATGAATGGGGTGAATCAAACAAATGGACAAGTGAGCATTGCTCTGCTGCTTTGTCTTTGCAGGACAAGGGCTGCAATCCCTGCTGTAGAAATTGATATTGCATCAACCTTAACCCAGCCAAGTTTAACCTGAAATCATATATCAATAAATAGCGAAACTGTTTCATAAACACGTGAGCTCAAAAGAGGGTAGGATCAGGCTTACAAAAAATGGACTCTATTTAAGAATTTCAGTACTTAGCTCCTCAAATTTCCAGCTTGTATCCCAGTGAGATGTCTCTGCAACACAGTAGCTCTGAGACTCTGATCTCTGCATCCTACTAGGAGGATGAGCGGCTGACCGGGCTGCTAGTAGCTCTGATTTCATGTGCTGGCCTTTAGTCAGTCCTTGCAAAAAGCATCACATTTCAAATGTACTTTGCTACATTTCAAATGTACTTTGCTGGAACAGAGTGCCCTGCATTTATTTGTATTGTTAGAAATCCTACAGACCTGTAAAGGCTTGTAGCTGCTTTTCAGCACCTTGATTCTGAGTACCTTTCCCAGAAACTTGTGATTTCTCATTAACTGGTCCTCAGTTCTGTGCAGCCACTGAGTGGAACAACAGTAGAGGATGTGAACGATGGTATTCTGTGTGCTGTGTTTATACAGACCACATTTTCACAAGCAGTTAGGGGCAAGTAGTTCTGTGCAAGTGCTAGAGTCTATCTGTGTGACAGGAAGCAGCCCCACAGGCCTGGGAATCCATCCATGTGCCTAGAGTGCAAGTTCTGGCTTGCTGGGAGCCACAGAAAGTGAGTGTTGGGAGATAAAATTCCTCCAAGCTTCCAGTGAGCTCTTCTCAGAGGAAAAGAAGAGACAAGGGTACACATGTATAAGGCCTCATCTAGCATTCATCTGCAGTTTTCTTCCACTTTGTAGCTAGATCCTGGTGCTAACACTAATCCTGCTTTTTAAATAAAGGCATCAAGGGGATATAAACTTAAACTTCCACTTACTGTGTTTACATCCAAAGGAGCCTTCTCTTAGTGGGAGGAGCTGGGAGGAACTGTCATGATCTTTGCTATGCAGTTTTTTCAGCGTTTATGTAAAAGGCTGATGTTTGATTTACCCCATTTGTTAAAAGTATGAATTCCTTAAACTGACTTGTTTGTCAAAAATTGGACTATACATTTTCAGTGGACTTTCTGTCAGTCTGGATTCTGCAGAAATTTCTCCACAAGACTTACCACCTATTAGGTGGCTCAGGTTGGACCCTGCGTTCAGGCCTGCTAGAAACAATTGGTGTTTGTTTGTTTTCCCAAACATGTAACTCTGTGAGAGATCCCTGTCAGCACAGGGCTTTGATTGTAGGTCACAACACTTAGGTTTTCCTCATTTGCAAGCGTCCTCTGAACACCAGGTGAAGAGAGGTAAAATAGAGCTCAGATCATCTTTCAGAGGCCTGCCATGGTCTCACCAGTCCTGTGTGTGTCATCAGTCTGCCTGTGCCCAGGAAAGAACAAAGTGATCAGATCACTGAGCTGTTCTTTCTGACAGTCTTTAACATGAAAAACAAATTCCTTCTACATTTTTTTCCTCTTAAAATTTGCTGTGTTTCTCTTGAAAGAGGATTTAATAGTGCTGAAAGGAAGAGGTTGGGAACTAGACTGATAAATACTTTAAACTCCTCAGATATGCACTCACACAGTGAATTTAAAGCCCACATTTTACTTCCTAGACAGAACCAAACAATGATGACTGCCTCTCGGAGTCAGAAAAGATGGCAATGGACTTAAAAGATCCAAATCGTCCAAGATTCACCTTGCAGGAGCTCCGGGATGTCCTTCATGAGAGGAATGAATTGAAATCTAAAGTGTTTTTACTTCAGGAGGAGCTTTTATATTACAAAAGGTAGGTTAGGTCTCTCTGTTGCATGCTATACACAGAGAAGCCATAGGGCAGGTCTAGAAACAATGAATGTGCTCTTAAATAGTGTCCAACAAGTTTTTATTTCCGCAAAGGCTTTAAGTAGAGATTGCAAGCATACAGCTTTAGTTTGAATCTAGTTCCTCAAAATTGGGAGAAACTATGTCCTTCCCTAACTCCCAGGTTCCCCTTGAATGTTAGAAAGATTACAAACATTTAATACTTTTGAACTTCAAAAAATGAGGATAAGAGTGGGCCTAAAATGAAAATTCTAGAGCTTTTATTCAATGCATTCCTTTTCTCTCTCCTTGTCACAATGGGAAGAAAATATTGAAAGGAGACCCAGTTCTAGGTGCTGTTCCTTGGTTGACAGAAAAATCTCCCATTGATTTCAGTGAGCTTGGAACAGATCTTTTTGCATTTCTTCATCAACAGTACTACCTCAGATTGAATTTTACAACTGAAAGCACTTCCGTGGCTCGGGAGGAGCACACTAATTATCTTTTTTTCTTACAAGTGAGGAAACGGAAGAAGAAACTAGATCCCCTCAACCTACGCCCATAATTCAGTCAAAACCCTCAACTCAGCCTGAATCTGGAATCAAACGACTGTAAGTAGCGTATTTTCTAAGGATACTGGATATAGTCTGCAAATACTAAATGTTTCTTAAGGGTAGGACAATTTTAAAGAATTTTTAAATTACGATAACTACATCCCTAACCTATATGGGAGAGGCATTGAAGGAACACTTGACAGGTATCATGAAACAGCAGTTGGATTTGGTCAAAACTGCCTAGATCTGGGACAACTTTCAGTCCCAGATTATTTCCTGTGGTACATTCTGCTCCCTACATGCAGAGAGCAGTAGGGAGTCCAACAGTACTCCATGTGCTTGTGTTTAGAGGCCAGACTGGTGTGCCCAAGAAGCCCACTCCAGTTCTGATGTTTCCTTCTTAAGTACACTATTCAGGCTAACCAAAAGAGCATGTGTTGCAATGTTTTATTATAACTAGTATGAGCTGATGAGCTTTTAAACACAGACACCTGATCTTCCTAGAGAATTTTCTTGTCTGGGCCACACAGTCATACTCCAAAGGGAGGTGCTACTAATGGTGGTCTTATACAGAGCACCGCTCAGCCTGTCCTGTGTGCTCAAAACTGAAGTCAGTGCCGGATCTCAGTGTGCAAGGATTGTAGGAACAACGCTCCTGTTCAACCGCAAGTCCCAGTTCCTTAACACACAGATCCTAAGTTGGTGGAGTGTCGGAAACCCCAGGCCCTCAGGTCATGCTTGGAAGACATGTAAGGAGTGTTGTGCACAAGTAAAGCCAGCTGCAGACCTGTAGCAGTTGGATGTGGAGAGCAAGGTTTTCCCGTGACCTCACTGTGCCTGTTTCCCTGTTGACCTAAGCCTTTAGAGCCTGACTTGCACTATGTGTACAGCACAAAAACCTTTTGTTTACTGAAGAAATTTGCTGCTGGAGAGGATGCCAGCTTTCTTGGCTATAAAGAACCCCACGTTCTTCTGGTGAAGTATTTAATGTTGCTGTCTGAAACCTAAGCTTACTGTCAGAGGTGTGCATTTACTAGTGTATGACTTATTTATAAAATCACAGTGTTAGCCAATCCATTTATCTGTTGAAACTCCTTCCTTGTATATTTATTTATTTCAAATTAAGTCTTGTAAACTTATAGCGAGTCTTTGGATGTTTGTGATACTGGAAGCTTAACTTTTTTTTAACTGCATAAATGATTTAGGAACAGTCATTTGTTTCCACATAAAAAGCTCTTCCATCCTCTCCCGGTGTCCATAGCCTTCAGTCCTTGTTTAATAATACCAGCAGCCCTGTGAGAGTAAGTTCCTTTGGAAGATCTGGACTGATCCAAAACACCATAAAGTCAGGAGGGCACTTCTGATTATTTTCAGTAGACTCCAGCTTCTCTCTGTGATGCTTTGTTTGCTGAGAGAACCCTTCCTCTCACATGACTAGAAAATACACTTTGAGTTTGGACTTAAGTTTTCATTCTGCAACTGTGATGATAATAATAATACTTTGTCTCACAAGATCTCCACTGTAAAGCTTCTCTTTTATTTTAGTACTTTTTAATGCTTATCCCGTTGTGGGGGATGGCTGGTTTCAGCTTACGCAGTTTATGTTGATTGCAGTTTCCATGCTTGATTTATGAAGGAAAGGCAGCATAAAAATGTAAATAGATGTAAGACAGAATACATGCTGACAAGGTATTAGCTTTGACTCTGCCTTCTGCATACATGCGTAAGCAATGCAGGGACCCATGGCAGGAGGCACATAAGTGTTTTCAACCAGTTATCTCAGTGCTTTCTTCCTCTCAGTTAATTTTTTAGGGAAAACTTGTTGACTATTCAATCAGTGCACATTTTCAGACATCTATCCAATCTTTCTGTTTCTCAGAATCTGTGTTAAATTCATATAACTAAAACCACACAGAATAAAACATAAAATCATGTTGGTTTGGACCCTTTCAGAAAAGGCAAGAGTCCTCTTCTGCCAGACAGTGGAAGCATGTATTGAACCTGCTGTCAAGATGAAATTACTTTCTTTGGCTTTCATGCTCTGTCCCCAGGTTTCTTTCTGCTCTCTCTTCATTTAGTCGTCATACTAAATAAAGGGAGATAAAACTGTCTACTTAAGTAACCTGAAGGATGGTGATAGTTTTCAGGTTTGTCTTATTATTGCAGCCTGTCTGGATAGGATTTGTCTAGAGTGGGTTTATTTTCTTTCCCCCCTACTCTCTGTGTGTGTTGTCAACAGTCTACTTGTAGATGGGCTTTAAAAAGACAGGAAATTTCACTGCTGGGAAAAACAAAGAACCCAAGTGTAGCAGCTGTTCTGCCCTGTTATAGCACCCTTCCTGCCCCACCTGCAGTCCCTGCCTGCTGCAAGCTGTCTCCAGAACTCCCTTCTCCCTCTCCCAGGCAGGATGCTGTCAGCACCTCGCTATATGGCTGCCTGGGTAACACACTGGCACATAAACTCTGCCTACCTAATGATGTGCTGAAAACTTGTAATGCTGATATCTGTGTGCAGAGTGCCTTTACAAATGAAAGTAGGGTTGCTTTTCCCTTTGTTTCAGACTTTTCCTCCTGATTAAACAAAAAGCTGAAGTACAAAAATAGGAAACACTGTTGCTATCCTCTCAAGAGAAGTTTTATGCTTGCCTGTGTGATGTGCCCTTTTTTTCTTGACCATGCAGTGTCTCGGGGAATGAGACATATATATATATATATATGTAGCCTGTACCATCTAAGATGTGCTCGGGTGATTCTGTGTTGCATCCCCATAAAGAAAGGAAAGCAGAAGTTACAGAAATCAACATTTTTTCACTCCCAGGGTTTGCACGTTTGTGGGGCAAACTCCGAGTTCTGATCTCAGACTGATTGATTTCTACATTTGTCTCTACCACATCACATGTCAGAGTTTTGATGAAAAAATGTAACCAGGAGGCTTTACTGAGGAAGAAGAGTACAAGGATTAAAAATGCTCCCTCTGTTTTGAGCAGAAAACGCCCTTTTGTTTTCTTTTTAAGGATACGTGCTTGTTTGTCACTGATGTAATGCCTGAAACAGCCATAAGTTTTCCTATTCTTGCAGTCTACAAAAGCTGATGTGTCTGTCTCATTTCTGCAGCTCATGGACCATACCACAATGCGTAAAAACAGAAGTCCTAGCTACTGCTAATGATACAACAATGTTTGCTTGTTTGTTTTCATTTTTAATCTAAGAATACCAGTTAGAGTGACTGTGTTGGGGAGAGCTGCATTTGGTCACAAGTGAAATGTCTCTCATGATTTCAACTTAATCTTTAATTGACATTAGTCCACAGTTCAAAAAAATATTTGGCACAAGGGAGAACCTCTGAGGAGAATCCTTAGAAAAACAGAGGGTATTCCAGGTATGGATGAAGGTGTGTTGGCAGGTTTGTGTGGGGCTGGCTGGGCATAGAGCACCAAGCCAGTGTGCTCTTTCAACCTCTTAAGTTGCATGAGTTGTATAATGTGTAGCAAAAGTGCTGAACTCTTACAAAGAAACAGTCTTGCTGCTAGCCTCCTAGAAAGTGTTTCTGCTAGAGTAGTTGCAAGGTTTCAATTAAGTATTTAGCTGCCTGCACTTGGCATCTTTCTGCATGTGAAGCAATGCAGGTTCTTTTGGAACAGATACATAGGCCCTTTAACCAAATAGCTTGCATAGGAAGTTATTTCAAGATTTCACCGGCGATACTGGTTTTTAACTTGAAACTATCAACTATAACATTTGTAAAATTTTTAACTGTGATGCTGGTCCTGTCTAACCCTGTTTTACGTGCAAATATCCAGTATTCACAGCAGAGTCCTGTTTTGTATGCCTTAACATACACCTTCATCCTTCATTTCATTATGTATGTGCCTGTTTGTCTCTTGGGAAGAAAAATGTGCACTCTGCTCTGCATTGCTAGAGGTGGTAATACCTTGATGAAATCCAACCCAGATTGCAGGCTGCCTCACAACAGAAAAGTGGTATCTTTTAGAAATTCAAAAGCAATTTAAACTGTTACAATGACTGTTTTTTCTAAATAAGAGTTTTTCACTGAGGAGAGCTGTCTTGGGTGATGCAGATCCACCTCTCCCTGTAACATGTCCTGTGTGGTAATTCAAAGTAACCCCGTGTATCATGTTTGCTTCTTTTCTTTTTAATGGAATGCTTTTTCTTTCCCTTGCTCCAGTCTTACCTCTTCTGTGTCTGTACTTTCCTGACCAGGATCTTTACAGCCATAATGCCCATGGTAGCAGCTGGATTGATTCCAGACGATCCCACATTGCAGCCAATAAGAAGACTTGTGTCCCTTGTAGGAATTTTTTTTTAAATGTTTGGTACCGTGGTTTCCTTTTGCATGACCCTGTGTTAACATGCACTGCTGGTTGCATTCTCATCGGCTGCCTGTGGGATCACAGAAGAACAAAGTGCCAATCAGAATGACCAGTCAGTACACAGCTCATTGTAGTCCTCCATGCTCATCCTCAAGTATTGACATTTTATCACCTTTTACCTTAATGGTACCATGCTAAACCAATCATTACTCCTTAGAAAATTGTTGCAATATGCAATTTTAACTCTGTTAATTTTGCTTACTAAGCGTGCCTATTCACAATTCACACCAATGCTTTTTAAGAAACCCATGTCATTCTAATGACATGTTACAAATCAGTTAGATTTAGAGAATGTAATGGCTGATATCTACATTTTCAGTGTTAATTATAGGCTGTTGCTTCCATGTCTTTCTATCTATGCGCTGTATATTTTGTCTCTAATTATGTATCTTGGAATAGAGTATACACTCTGGATAATCCATTCTATCATCCTATTCTTGGCTGTCCCTGGAAGATGTACTGATAATTGTTAATGCAAAGTCTCTTTGCATTAGAACTGCTGCTTTAGTGATCTTTATATTTACAGCAGCAACACAGTATTTAAATTCCCTTCCTCTCCACACAGACGTGCTTTTTCCAAACATCCTCCATGAGAGTTTTCTAGGCATAATAACAATTTTAATTGTTTCAGAGGGAATTAAAAAAGCTTAATCCTTCTGCTCCATGTAGAGATTTTATGAACATATTTTTCTCTTACTTAATTTCATTATAAAGTGAAAAATTACTGAACTTTGACATTTGAAATTTACTGCATAAATACAGCAGTGCTTTGTGTGGACTTCAAGATACTAAGCCTGACCATGCAAGACCAAACATGCTCAGCAAAAAGCTTCAGTGGCTAGACAGTTCTTTTATCAGCTGGAATTGGATCTGTCCCTGAAAAGACATAGCATATGTGTGTGAATTTCTGAGCTCCTGTGATGAAGGTGGTAGAAAAGTATGAGGCTAATTAAGTACAAAAGACTTATTTCACTATTACGGCTGCACATTTGAAGCCAGGAAATGCAAAAGTTCAGGTCCTGCTAGCAACGTTAGTTATCTGGCATTGCACTTGTGTAGCTTTTTATATCACTTTCTAGTTAAGAAATAATTATTCTTAATATTCTTGATATTCTTAATAATTATCATCATGCTTACCTGCACATATAGGATATTTTTTCAGGAAAGCTGCCTTAAACTTCATCTGACACTCAAATACAGCCTCCTATGTGACTAGAGACATCGAAGGCAGAACTCCCTGGTCTGCACAAGGCGGCTTGGACAGTTGGGATCATGGTACTGAGGGGAGACTTAAGGGCGTGTGGGTGGAGGAAGAACGCCAAGGATGGTGGGGCGTGGACATAGGGTCAGGTTTATGCCCTGACAAATATTCCGTCACCTGTCAAAGTTGAGTTTATATTTGCATAGTCTCTTACTGTAGCAGCATTTAGCAATTCCCGTCCTGGATCAGAACTGCATTATGCTTGATACTGCGCAAGCAAAGCAATATTTACCTCCTAAAGTGCACCATTAAAACCAAAAGGGTATGCAGCCAATTCAAACTTTTGGTAGCTGGAACCACAACTTTTGCATTTCTCAGCAGACCTAAACACTGCACTAACACCTCTTGTACTGAACTCATGACAAACACTGAATTTGCCTAATCAAGTAACTTCATCCTATACAAATAAAATGATACTAAGGATTTTTCCAACTGTATTTTTTTAGCTCTGTTGTCAGCTGGCAATTTGTTGTTGTATTAAATGGCTGTTGGTTCATGTACGTCATTATCTTAGAGCACCCAAGCTGTGTGACAGGAAATGACGTGCACACTTGTGTGTCTTTGTTCAGAGCCTTCATCCTGCAAACTCCTGTGCACATATGTGCATTTATTCATTTATTTTTGCAGGAATCAAGTCTATCTCTCAAAGTCTGTACACTTGGAAAAAATGTGGAGGCTTATTTTCTTATCTTTAGAATTTCCTTGCTGACACCCTTAAAAACATTCTCTGTTTCTGCTTTATGGTAAATTATAGATTTAATGCCAAAGATACCACTTTACTTACGCCAAGAAACTAACCTGTATTGTGTCGCTTCTTTATCTCAGGGCTGGGGAAGGGGGAATATACATCTAAAATGATACTTGCACCTTGTAGAGTCAACAGCATTTAGAGCTTACTTGAAGCTTCCATAGCCAAACTGCTTGAGATTGCAATGGCTTCATCTCTAATAACATTTTGACATGCACTCCCATCAGGCTTCACTGCCTTGATTTTTGCAGATGCAAACAGATTTTTTTGCTCTGTGTTTTGTTGTGCTGTGTATCGTGTCGGGTGTTTGAAGTGTTTTCAAGATGGTAAACAGTGTTCTTTCTTTTCCCTCCCCTCCCTTACTCCTCCCTTCCCGGAAGGTTTAGTTTCTTCTCTCGTGATAAGAAACGTATGCAGGCATCACAGAAAAATGTCCACTTCCAGGATACTTTTGGAGAATGGTCACATTCAAATAAAGATGACTTCTACACCGAACAAGGACAAGAAGCCCTGCAGCACCTGTGACTAAAACCTTGAGGTGTTCGGTTTACCGCAGTAGATCTCAACAGTCTAGTAACAAGAAGCTTCTGTAAAAAAATCCGGCAGCTCATCACTTTTATTTGCCTTGCACACCTCAGTGGTTGTTTCAGATGTACTCTTCAAAAGGGATCCCTCACTGTTTACTTGGTGATTGTTTGCTGAAAACAGAATCCAAGCTTTGTAGTAATGGTTGCTGATACCCTGGGGCATCGAAGCTTCTAGATGACTTGTTTTGTGCTGAATAACAAGTCTATGGTCTTGTTCATGCATTAACTACAGTAACACAAGCTTCTTTAAACCAAAAAAAGGACCTGTGCCATTATTAGGAGTTTGTTTGCAGTGTACAATATCTAGTGGCAAAGACTCTTTTACCCTGTTTGTTAACACTATCGGTTGTTTTGCTTTTTATTCCTGTAAGAATTTTTTCAAGAGGGATACGACAGCTGGCCGCTCTCCATGGCAGGTCGTAGCACTGCTGTGTCCTGTCAAGTTCAGCTGGCATCTGCGTTTTGCAGAGTAACCACTTGGAAATCCACCCGATACAAACTGATGAACTGGAGTAGCCTTGAGAGGGATAGTGAGTGTACATTTCCCTTGCTGCTTATAGTGCCTAAAGCATGAAGAAACCGATGTATGAGGTGAGCGTGCCTTGCATTTTGCCATGAGTTCTGTAGTATTAATGGAAAACAAACTGCTTACAAGGAGGAATTCTAACACTTTAATTTTTTCCTTCTTACCAGGGACGTCCCCCTAGATTAGCACACAGCTGCTGTAAAGGAATTAGGTCTCTTTCCCACAGACAGGTTTTTAATTAAGTCACACTCCACTTTTCTGCCTAACTTCAGATTGAAACACATCCTCAACTAGCTGACATGAACTATTTCAACTGACTTAGAGATGACACCAACTCAAAATGTTTTCTCTGACTAGTCTAAACACTACTTAGGCAGAGCAGATGAATTCTGTATGTGCAGGCTGCTCCACTCGTGTTGGTTGATGTTTGGGTAGCCTGCAGTTGCAGGGGCTTAACTTGCCAGCAAAAGCCCAGCACAGCTGAACTGCCAGGAGGTGGGATTTAGATCTGCTTTGCAATTGAGCTTGTGGCACCCTTGGGTCTGACTGAGATTGTACTCACAAAAACCATGACACTAAAGCCCCACGCAGTGTAACTGTTGCGTACAGTCCTGTGTCAGTGCACACCCTGCCTCTGCACCACACACTCCACGAAGGCACCTAGGCAGGCGGCGGAGGGTGAGCGCATCCATGGCTCCTTGCGAGGGAGGTGCTGAGGTGTTTCTGTGAATTTGGCTGTGTGCTAGGAGAGTCCGCGCTGGAGCACCGTGCTGCTGGTGAGGAGCATCTAGTTACGACAAGGCTGTAGGCAACTTCTGCACATGTAGCTTAGTGCAGGGGGCTGTGAGCTGCTGTTGGCACCTTACCCCCAGCAACTACATCTGGTCAGTGTAAAGCCTCTTCTCAGGAGTAGCACTAAGAGGAAAAAACAATGCTCAGGCTGGGTAACACTCCCAACTACTCCAGGTACTGAATGTAGGAGGAAGGCTTGAAGAACTCCTGAATGACAGCAAGCAAGAGGGTTTAGTGCAGGCCAGTTTTTAATGCAGGGTAATCAAAGACTCTGGATTCTTTAATGTGTATGGGCAGCAAATGGTTTTTAGCCCATCTAGAGTGAAACTGCCGGGAAACTGTTTTTGCAGTGGTGGGCTTAATCCTACTCTGCTTCTGACTGTAACTGTGCTACATTTTGAACACGGACCTTCCATGTGTTCTAGGTAGAGAAAGTGTTTACTGTGCCTCCCTGGTGTCGTTGCAGTTCAGGGCAGGGCGGAAATGTGGCCTTATATGAAAGACATCTGCATCTGAAATAGTAACGGTAGTGTCTGATGCTAGTATTAGGCAGATATGCATTTGCCTGGTTACGTTTTGGTAACATATCTTAAGTTTTATGCTTACAGAAAGCTGTATCCATAAAACGGCAGCACTTCCCCCCTTGTGTGAAAAGCAATTCTTAAATTGGGGGAGTATCTTAATTTAATGACACTTAAGTTGCTAAGATCTCAATTTCGCTTCCATGTTAGGAAAAAAAAAGAGTATACTACAGTTATATCAGGCAGTTAAAGTAAATTGTGAATGATGCCTGTTGAGCCTCTCCCTAGCATAGTTTACAGTCATTCGGCACATTTAGAAGAGATGCAGTGATTGGAAACAATGCAAGAATGCAGCGGATGCATGGCCTGAATAAGCACATCATTTTTGAAATCAGCTGAGAGCAACGAACTGGGATAACAGAAATACAGAGTCTGAACTGTTTTCCCACAGCACCTAAGCTGGTGTATTACAAAGGACGTCTCCTGGCCTAGTGCACGCAAAGCTTGTCCCGTACACCAGAGCCCAGTGCACTATTGTCGGGTCAAATCTGCAGCCAATTTCAAACAATGGCACTAAGCAGTACAACCTTCCCCCGCTCATCTCTGTAGCCCATTACCTCAAAAATCTAATTAGTCACTCCTGACCTGCTAGCATTAACCACTTCACTCCTCGTTCTCATGTTTGAAATTCTGAGTTTACACACTCCCAAGTGCCATCAGAAAGGATGGCGTATAGGGAGGAGTATGTAAAGATTTAAAGATCTGTCGTGTATTGTTTCTCAATATTCAAGTAAAATCTGCTTTTAGAAAAGGGGCCAGGATGTTGTCAGGTAAGGGGCATAATAATCCTGTCTGCAAAGTGCAGGATCACTGAAGTTTTTTTTGTTGGGGTTTTTTTTTTTTTTTGGTTGGGCAGTAAATCATTTTAACAGTTTAATAAATATTTCTGAAAAACAAGTATTTCTGCAAGACTTGTGTCCTTTTTTTTGTGGAAAGTTAATACCATCTCTTCTTGGGGATGCAGCATATAGGTCTGTCTTCTTTCCCCTGAAAAAGGCTCATATAACTCTTAATGGAAATAAAGGCTTAAACTGGGCAAGGTTTAAGATAGGGCAATTCAAAGGCTAACAAAAAAAAAATGGAGTTTAAAATACATTAGCAAATATTTAGGAACAGCTTATGATGACAAAGAATGCCACAGAGCCTTTTCTAGAAAGCACTGTAAGCTCCTCAACAGAATATGTGTCTCTGTATAGGCATATCCTGGCTCTGAAAAAAAGATGCTTTGCCCTTTGTTTTCCTCAATTCAGCTACAACCAGCAGCGAGCCCAGTTTCCAGAATGGGATTTAAACCCTGTGCAGGCAGGACTTTGCTCACAGAGAGGAGGAGAGGACAGAGCGGGTGCAGCTGCAACCACATTTAACCATGACACCGTCCTCCAGCGATTGTCCATAGATTGATCAGGAACATTAGGTGTTTTCTGACCTGCTTACTGCTCTGTAGTGTGCATTCCTCTAATACAAAGGAATGAATTACATCCTCCCATGATGTAAAAAATAGATTTGTTGTTATGTGCTTCTCTCTCACCTCGCAGAACTAGTTAAGGACACGGTATTACTAAAGATCTCACCTGTCCCAGTGTCGTCAAGAAAATAAAGTAATTTCCCATCAGCTTCTGTTTTGGGGTGTGGTTTTCAAAAGCTTAGTTTGTTGCTATTCCATTACTATTTCTTCAACAAGTGACTCTTTCATAAAGAGCATCTGTCTCACTAAATGAGTGTGGACATCTGGCACATAAATAATTAAATACAAAGCTCTCTCCTGAACCCTACTCCAGGCAGCCAGATGGGTGTCAAACAAGGTATGCACTCAATTTCAGTGGGATGCCCGTACATATAGTGCAATTCTTACAGCATTCACCAGCATTCAAAAATATTAATACAAAAGTTTATTTTCTCTGAAGAACAATTCAACACAGATCTTAACTGCATTAGCAACCAATGTACAGAGAGCTTCTAGCAGGCAAGAGTCGCAGGCACAAGACAGTAATGGCACAGCTTGCTCTGGGAATGCTGCTCACAGCCCCAAGCTGAAGGCAACACCTCCAACTGAAACAGCGTGGATGTAAGAGGAGATAACATACCCCAAGGAGAAGGCGCTGTCGCCTATCGATGCTTGTCATCATCTCTTTGTTTCTTGGTATCTCTTTCCCTGCTCCGGTCTCTATCCCTGTCCTTCCTGTCTCTGTCCTTCCTCTCCCTCCCTCTGCTCCTCTCCTCTTTGGAGTCCCTCTCCCTCTCACTTTCACCCCAAGTCCACGACCGCTCCCTTTCTGGCCATCGCTTGTCTCTGCTCCTTTCATGGTCTCGGTCCCTTGTTCTCCAGTCCCTTGTTCCCTCACGAGACCAGTTTCTTTTCTCTGCCGATCCTTCTCCATAGAAATCATTTTTCATGTTTGGCAAATTGATGGGTTTTCGGAAAGGTCTGTCCCGTCCTCCAAACCGTAGCTGCCCGGATTCTTTTTTGCCTCCAAACCCACCTCCAAGCCTCCGAGGAATCCATCCTTTGAGAGTTCTTTCCAGTTCAAAGTCTACAAAGATCTCATGTTGATCAATAACCAGCCTGTTGGCGTCTCTGTGGGCCTTCAGGAGAGCACGCTCCTCTTTGTACTCAATAAACGCATAACCCTTGGAAAATCCCGTGACCAGGTCTCGAACCAGACGGATCTTTCTGATGTCTCCATACCGGGAAAAGACCTCTTTTATCTTCTCTTCTGTTGTCTGAAGATTGAGCCTTGCTACAAACAGGGTGAGGTGAGGATCTCCTGTAACTCCCTTGTTGGGTACGTAGCGTGCCAGCATAGCCCTCCATATGGCGCGGTCGTGGGGCTCTTCATCCGTGCCATCAATGCTGCCGGCTTTGAGGGGGTCGTACTCCTTTGCTATGGGGGCCCAGTCGTTCATCGTCTAAGGGGAAAAAAACACGCACCGCACAGACTCACAGGTGTCTTAGGAAGTAGAGCAGCTAGTGCCAGAAGCACTTCCAGCACTGCTGTACGGTATTTTTCAACCAAAAATCCCCCAAAGTGTGACAAACTGAAATAAACCAGCAATGCCGCTGTTGTTTTGAGTTCACCTCCCGGGGCAGAGCCATGGCGCGGAGCCTGGATCCGCCCCCGCCTGCGGGGAGCCCCGCGGCCCGGCGCCGTTCCCCCCGGCCTGAGGGGAGCCCCGCGACGCCGTCCTTCCCCCGCGGGCCCTACCGCGTGTCCCGCCTCCCGCGGGACCCCCGCCTGACGGCCGAGGCCGCCCGCCGCGCCGCTCCCCTCACCTCGCCCGGCGGCTCTTCCCGTCGGCAGAGGCCGATTCGCCAGGCCCGGCGGGCCGGAGGAGGGAGGCCGGCTCCGCCGGTGTTTATCTGAACACCTTCCCCCCCACCGCCCGCTCGCGTCAGGCGCCGCCAACAACCCCCGACTCCCCCCGCCCGGCCCCGCTCCCGGGAGCCGCCTCGCCTCACCACGACGCCCGGCGAATGCGGCGTTGAGGAACCGCCGATGCGTTTACCTCCCTGCGCGCCCGGCCCGGCCCGGTGCCGGTGCCGGTGCCCAGCCCGGGGCAGAGCGAGGCCTCGGCTGGCGGCTTCCCCGCA